AGAGCCGCGGCGCCCGAGTACCTCAGCGTGGCGAGCGCGCCGCCTGCGAGGCGCCCGGCCGCCTCCACAGCGTGAGGCAGCGAGCGGCCGCACGGCTGCGCGGCCTTCACGTGTGGGGAAGGGACAACTGAAGTTCTGTCCTGTGCCCAGTACAGTTCGTTTAGTTGGTTTATGTGGATTTTTTTCACTTTGGGTAGGCAAGGTATTTTTGTTAGTTGTTTACTTACAATTTATTATTGCCTATGGATCTCTATCTATCAACTAACATACTATGGATCTATATCTGCCAACTAATATACCTATGGATTACTAGCAATGTCAAACTGCTAATACGGGATTTACAACAGCTTATTTATAAAAAACCCTTAGGAATTAGAATTGCTCTCTCACCATAGACCTATAAGACTTCAGCAGTTTGAGCATGACCTTGCTTTTCTTGAGGGTGATGGGAAGATTCTGTTTGGCTTTGGAAGACATTTGAAATGGTCTTTGCTTCAGAGCTGTTGTCTGATTCTTACCTGTTTTAATACACAAACTAACCTATAGCGTACATCTGTACAATAGAATAAAATGTAATTTTAAAAGAACTAATTTATTAATTTTTACAGAAACTCCTGAATGTGCAAGCTTTGTTCCACAGCAGATCTATTGAATCGTTATCTGGCTGTTAATACAGACTGATCTTTTCTGTGTTTCTGTGTCTTGCTTGCAGATTAAAAATGCAAAATGATTTCTTCTTAAGTCCAGTATTTATGTAAAACTACAAATATCACCAAATTAAAGTTTCTGGACAATGCTTTTTCTGGGTTGGATTCTTTCCTTTTAAAACAGCTAGGAAAGCTGCCAGGGAGTCTTCTGTGTATATATCACATATATGTATTTACACATCCATAATGTGCAGCGATCCCATTTGCACAAAACAGGCTCGGTCCAGAACTGCATTAGAGACCTGGCTTGACGGGCAGGAGACTTTCTCCTGTAGGGTTGATTTGCTGGGGTTTCTGCCTTGGTGACGCTGTTAAAAAAATTACTGCTCCTATTTCTACAGTGTCTTTCATTTCTGTATTTTGTTATAAAAGGCCTCGGGGATGAGGGTCTGTACATGAGCCAGCAGAACAGACTCTTTGCCAGGCCTGAGCCCCACTCACATCATCAAACTAGGCAAACTAGGGGCTCTTTTCTGACGTGTTTCATTTTCGGTGGTAAGGGGTAAATAGCTTGCAGGTTTTTGCCAACCTCTTATTTTTAAAAATAGCATCCCTCAGAAATTTCAGTGGGTTTTTGTGCCTCTGGAGGCAATAATATTGTCTTTTATATAAAAATTACATCCACGGGAGGCAATTGGAATGGCCAGACTTCCAAAATACGTAACTACCACTCAGCCGATTCACTGCCCAGCTCTCAGGCCTGGTATGAGCACAGTTCTTCTGCATTGCCACAATTTGCCATCAGAGCAAGCGCCCTAGTCATTTCCTTAGCTGAACTGACAGTGATCATTATCCTCACAGCGGGTTTAATGTGCCTGGGTGATACTTTGGATTTGCCACGAATCCCGCTTGGATGGCGAGTGCTGGCCCTGGAACTCTGTGCTGAGCTCCGAGCTCCCTCCGGCTGCTGCCCCCTGCCGTGGCGCAGGCCCGTGGGC